GGCTTCCTCTTTATGACCCCTGACACTGAAGTGACATTAACGTCAAAGCAAAAGGTGCATGAGTGGATGGAAACTGTCTTGAGCACAAACAGCTCCATCCCTCTCAGTCCCTGCTGAAGGGGGACCAGGTAAAGAGGCATTCACGACTTGTATCTTCCTCTGCATCTGCTGCCATGGTTGGAGGAGTTTTCAGCGCAATGAATGTAGTTTAAAAAGGTGAGGACTTGTTTAGAATGGGAAAATAGATGCAGGGACATACACTAGAGACTTGTGCTAGAAACATTATGAATCTCAAGTCAGTTCTGCCACAAGGACCTGCCTGGAATAAGCCTGGTCAAGACTGCACCCCTGTTTGGTGTGACATCCCTTGTGTCTGAGCTGCTGAAATGCTTGGGTCATCTTCTGTTGAGTTCCAGGAGAACACGACTGTCTTCTTCACAGGAGACCAAGCAAGAGGTGAGTACTTGAGATCTGGTCTCCCCATTCGGGGCTGGAGCAACAAGATCTCTTTCAAAATGGCACTAAACACAACTGGAGACTGATAGAAAGGAAGTAGGTTAGAATATGGCCTGAATAAGAGCCCAGGTTAACTCCACCATGGAGACATGTCTTCAGGCTTCCTTTAATTCTGAGTTTCCAAATACCTTGGGACACCTGAGGACGGACACTACAGGAGGAACAGGCTGATGCACCCACTGTGTCTCAGAGGCATGTCTGCAGATGGAGGAATAACCTCCCCCTCAGTGAGAGCTTAGTGAAAGAGAAACTGATGGCCCCAGAGACCATGACCTGATTAGCAACAAAAAAGGAACAGTGTGGGCAGCACCATTGCCCCCTATCATGCAGCGTGGTTCACCCTTCAAAGTCAGTTGCTTCCATGGTCTCAGGAAGGGTATTGATTAGAAGAAGCTCTTACAAGGTTGTGCGTGACCTGAACATCTGTTTATTAGAAACTAGCAGCAATGAGTCATTTTCAAACAAACATGGTTTTGAGCTCTGTGTGAGCTCAATTTCTAAGCCAACATTGTCTCTTGATCCAGCACAAAGAGAGAAAGGGGTGGCCCATTGTCTCTCCCATAGCACAGGCAAGGAAACAGTGGGGAAGAAACCAAAACTAACACCCCTGCTGATGTGTTTGCTTTTTGCCTCAGTGTCTCCTGTGCTTTGGAAGGCAGTGATTCCTGCT